GAATGGAATAAATAACACATGACAAATGAATGAATGATCAAATGAATGGAAGACAAAATGAATGAAAAATAGAATTGAATAGATAACACATAAAGGGAATATAGACTCACTTGTTCCACATCGTTTTCCTTTGAATCCTGGCTTACATGTACAGGTGAAATCATTGATGCCATCGCTACATGAACCATGTAGACAAGGGTCTGGATCACACTCATTGATATCTAAACAATACAAACAACTATAACACAACTGATGACTTGCTACAGTGTATCTAGCAACTATAACACAACTGATGACTTGCTACAGTGTATCTAACAGAATGCTAACAGAGTTTTTTTGGGGGGGAGGGGGAGAGTATGGGTTTTTAAGTGGCAGATTTCGTATAACTTTTCTTAGGCCTTTTCTGAAATACAAAACCATAGTGCATTCTGGTCTAGCTTCAGTACAAACAACGCCACATTTGACATCTTGAACTAAATATGTTTGTGCTGATTCTAGACCTCAATGCAATGCAAACCGCTATCTCAGAAAAGGTTAAATTTCGCCTTTAACATTCCAGCAGATAACATTTAAACTTGGTAAATTTACTAAATTCAATAAGGTTGACAAAAAGTGGAATGATAATTTATAATTCTTCTCGATGGCTGTCAATCAAAGTCATGTTACGTCACAGAGTAAGTCACGTGGTACACATTGTCTTACTTGTCTCGCAGTGCATCCCAGCGAAGCCTCGTCTACAAAGGCACTTGTACGAGTTGATCTTGTCCTCGCACGTTCCACCATTCTGGCATGGGCCAGACTCGCATTCATCGATGTCTGAAATGAAGAGATATTCTTAGTAAAGGGCTATCACTACCCGGCATTCAATGCGGTCGGGTTTTTATTTTCMATATACGTGTTGGAGCTCAAGGGAACGTCGCGGCAGTAAAAACGTAACCCTTAGTTTATATCTCTTCTTTCTGGCTTTTTGACAAATGAGGTGATTTCAAATCACTGTTTATTATATCCGTTTCCATCCTTCGGTTTTTTAAAGACAATCTTGCAACAATTCCATTCACAGAGCATAAAGGAATAATACTAAGCGGAACTTTTTTTCTTATGACGATATCTTTTTATTTTCAAGCCGTAAACTAATTAAACTCGTGATGTCGAGCAGTCAATATTGACATTTACTATTACACAGGAATTGTCTTATACTTAGTTTGCAGTCATTWAACYAAAAATCCTTAAAAAATAGAAGTTMTTGCAGCAACAACGACTTACTTGTCCCGCAAGTTCGTCCAGTGAAGCCAGGAGCACAACTRCAMGTATACGTATTGACACCATCCGTACACGTTCCGTGATTCTGGCAGGGGTTTTGTGCACAATCATCGCGATCTGATAATAGAATAATGGTCGAAATGCATATGAATGTTAGTTCAACAAACTCGGGAGCTATCTTGTTTAAGTTTWCTGGCTTTTGCGCTTATGTTAGAAAAAGGGAAATATGGTGCAATTTTGAAGGGATGGATGATTTTGGGTTGTTGCCCGATTCTGCGACAGGCCACTCGCGCAACTTGTTTTCTAACCGGGAAGGTAGTATTTAAGCCACTTACCAGTAGTTAGTTAGCATAGTGGAGGAAAAAAATACTTACTATGTTCGCAATGTCTTCCGTAGTAACCTGGTACGCAATGGCAACGGTAACGGTTTATGTCGTCTTTGCAAGTTGCTCCATTCTTACACGGAGACGATGCACATTCATCAACGTCTGGAATAAATAAACAAAAAGATTTTGAGCCTTGYTTTCATCCGTGATAAGGAGAAGAGAAGAACGAAACAGAGCAGAAGGCGCTTTTATTTTTATTCTGCTTCATTCACCACTTCTGATCGGCCTATTACTGCCATCTCCATTACGTTACACTAACGCATTGTAAACAGTCTAACGTAAATCTCTCGTAATATAAACAATCTAACGTAAATCCAACGTAACGTAAACGACATACTTGTCTCGCAGTTATCTCCGACAAATCCTGGCGGGCACATGCAGGTGTATCCAGCCACCTTATCTTTACAAGAACCTCCGTTATTACAAGGGTTGGGTTTGCAGTCATCGATATCTAGAATTATAACAAATCAATGATAATAATCATAATAATGATTTGTATGTATATTGATACTAAAATGTCGTAATAAAGCTTTTCGCCCTTTGTACAAACGGCCCCAGTGAGATATTACACACAAACGGCCCTTTTGGTAGTGAATAGACCTAATCGGCTTCAACCCAATTCAAACCACCCGGGAGTAAGTTTCATTGTTCGTTGTATTTTCATTTCACAGTTGAATTCTTAGAAACAAAACTTCTTTTTCCCGTAGGATTAGAATTGGGTGGTAACGTACATAGCAACGCGTTATCCGATTTGGTGTATACCCTAAGAGATATCACTAGGAGCTCATCCCCCCCTCCCCCCACACAATCCTCCCCCTCCCCCCACACACAAAACCCTCCCCCCTCCTCCCTACAC